CTGGTGGATCTGACGCCGACAAAATCTTCTAGACATGAGGAGCCCCCACCGCCCGGTGTTTAGGCTAAGGCTAAAGTTAAGCGCAGTACGATTATAATAATCATAATGTAGAATTTACATATGTACTTGACTAGCTTTGATTTACCTAATAATGTTAGCTTTGAATGGAATTCAATTTATAATTTTCTCATAATTTTCACCTTTCATTATGTACATTCACGTTCAACGAATTGAATACCATTTCTGTATTATATCCAACAATCGAAACAATTGAAATAATAAGATCGTTTGGATTCAGTTGGTTTATCTTTTTATTCAACAAACGAATTCATTGTAGGGTTCTCTTAAGGCATACCAACTAACCTTCCAAGATCTTGTACATTTTTCTTAAATACAAATAAAAAATTTCTACGTAACACTTCTAATAGGGAATACTATATATTAGATATTGTCATATTTATTATATTGCATACTCAGTTGATCTCACATGGATCGAACTGGCTGTCGAAGTGGGCGCAAGATATCTTAGGTCCGTTGTGCACACGAGGGATGGCTATGCGGAAGAGTACGCCAATTGGCATGCATACGCAAATCTTGTACTGCACACTTCCTGTACGAAGGCCCAGCTCCGAACTTACAACGGGTATGCGATCCATGTCAAGGAAAATCCCTTTTCCTGCCTCCAGCACTGTGGCACCCTGAGTTGAGTTAAGAGAAACGTGATGCTCGACCTGCACCTCTATGGTGGCCCCATCGAAGAACACGCCCTCGGATCCCTTGATGGCAATGTGGCCATCGCTATCCATAATTAAAGGCACGTCGATTGGACTGGATACGCGGCTCGCACTGGCCACCTTCGTCTGCAGCACACCTTCTACGCCATCAGGTATGTTGTATTGCGGGCGGTGGGTTGTAAAAATAGTTGCGTGATCAGTTGGATCTTTGATTTCAAACATGTTGGCTTCAATGGCAATGCCCCCCTTGTCGAGAACAACCAGATCACGTTCGTTTAAGGCACTGGCGCTATTCAGATTACGAAATACTCGCAAATGCACTCCACTATATTCTCCGTCGCTGCTGATCGATACCGGTACATCTGAGAAGCCATGTATTCCAAGAGCATTTGTTTGGACGCGATCCAAATCGGTTTCATCATAGAACTTAATTAAGTCCACTTCTGGAATCAATTCCATGCCCTTCACACCCTTTCCCAACCTTAGCACGCTCATAATTGTCAGCGTCAAAATTAGGTTGCCTATGGTTAACATTAGCAGCACTACGACAGCGGTCCAAAATGCATAGCTATTTCGATTCTGACGACCGGGATGCAAATGCGAATAGCTATCATTGTCGTAATCCGAATTGAATTTTTCGTCGAAGAAATTCACAGTATCCGATTTCGAATCCTTACGGCCCAGGTCCATTTCGACGCCTCCAATTGGCAGGGTAACGGATAAAGCAGTCTCCGAATTTGCTTCGTCAGAATATGATGGCGAGGGTCCTCTTACAAAAGTATTTTCAAAAATGTCCATTTTGCGTTTTAGAATTTTGCAGAACTGATTTTTGCCAAGTTATGTGCTGTGTGTATGCCGTATGATAAGCCGATATGTACATATACTTGAATTTCGGAGGCATGCGCATTGCATGACACACATAAAATACATTTAGCGCCAAAATTGAATATAATTTGACGCCCGTAAATAGAAAATGCCTCTTACTCTATTTATTATTTTATTTTCTTTATGATTATTATTATTATTATTTTTTTTTTTTTTAATTTAATCATTTTTAAAAGCAGACTCCAGTTAAACACAGATATTTATTTTAACCGTTAGACCTCTTCAGTCGATGCAAATATCCATTCAAATTGTTTTAATTGATGGTCACACTGCCTTGATACTTCGATAACAAATCTGTAAATTATGAAAATATAATTTCATTTTAATATAGATGATAATGAGTATACAATATATTCATAGCAAATATTTTGTATAATATTTCCGACTATTATCATTAAAATAGCTGATCAAAATATTCTTGCGATAAAACACTTTAAAATACTTGCGACAAGTAACTAACTCACTGCGACTTAGAAAAAGCGAACGAATAAACTCGATGAACCAAAATCAGAGATTTAGCTCGCTCTTCCATTTACAAAGTTGTTCGATTGAACTTATTCCGAACGACTTTCAATAACTTTAGTTTTTACTCTTTCATTTTCGCAACATGTCCTTTAAGGTAAAATTAAATATTCTTAATATTGCAAATATTGTTTAAAAGCATTTTATTTGAATTTGATGCAGCCGATTGACCCGAAGCGCGATGAGATTCGCCGCTATCTAGAGCGCGGAAGCGTTATGGATTCACTTACGAAAATCTTTATACGCGTAATTAGAGAGCGACCGGAAGACCCAATGGAGTATATAAGAAATAACATTGGCGTGGTGCGGCATCAGCATGATAAATACGAACGTCTGTCGCAGGATCTGCAGGAGGCAAACGAAGAGATTCTCCGTTTACGTGCCATAATAAACAGTATTAACCCTGAGATACTGCGTGCTCACAATGCGCAAATCGCCGGCGAATCCGATTCGGAGCAAGCGACAGCTGCCGAGCTGAACTCTGAAAACTCAATCGTGTCAGAAAATAATGAAGATGTCCATGAGAAAGTGCCTGAAGCTAATGGATTAGACAATGCAGCAGCTGCCAAAGCTGATGATGTGGAATTGAGCGCTACTCTTGAAAATTGTCACATTGAAGAGAAAAACATGGCCGCTGCTGAGACCACAGGCGACAATATAGCGCAGACCCCATCCGTCCAAGTTGAACCCAGCCGCACTGACAGTGCCGAGTGAATCAAAATTTTCGTTCACTCCGCTAGTTTCTGGATCATCCAATTAGAATGCATTCTCATAGAAATGTTATCAGTTCGTAGGGCTAAATATGTAAAGTATTTTCTTATATGTTAATAAAGGGTGCGCGAATGAACGCGCACGCAAAACCCTTAAAAAGGTTTTAATTTCTTTGATTTTTGTTTCTTAGTGGGGTTTTCAAATATTTATTTAAATCAGTTTTTAATTTCATACACATGGTATATCGTTTGTTTATTAATACAAAGGATTATTGATAATACATATTAATTATAGTAATTTGTATTTTGTATTTTCTTTTTTCAATTTTTATTCTTTGTTTAAACACATCTTAAAAATGATAAAGATGATGAAATAAAATTGTACATATTAGCATGGATCGAATTATAACAGTTGATCATAATTGGGAAAATGATACGGACATGAGAAAGATAAAAGACATGGAACAGTGGTACCAATGTTTTGGGCTGGCTGCAATGTGGACGAACATAAACTGATTTTCATTTCCAAGGTCGAAACTTAGTATTTACTTTTACTTTCTTGGCAAGCGTGTACTCTTTGTTTTGCTTTTCTCTTCCACATTTCAATTTGTGTGTTTTTAAGGCCAAATCGATTTTTGTTCTTATTATATTTTGTTTTTTACAAGACCCTACTACGTTTGTTGACCGCCGGCTGGTTCAAATTATATTTGTTTGTTCTTGTACTAACACTTTAGTCTCCTTCTTAACTTGGACAAAACATATATATACACTCATATGCACGTATGTGTATATTCTTGAGAGCGTAGTATGTGTGTCTGTGTGTGTAGGGCTTAATATTATCAAAATAAGTTATGCCTGTTTGAACGCACGCGAATGTACTTTTGTTATTGAAGCAAATCTCTCTTTAGTTCCTTAAAGATCATATGTTTGTCCAGGATTGGGTTAAATTTGTTTGTTTTGTATTTGCTTAGATTGTTTTTAATCGACGCAGAGCGTTCAGTTCATCCCTCTGGCTGCATAGTCGGTGCTACGTACAGTGACGACCAAAACTGTAACATGAATTTAGTTTTGCAACTTCAACGGTTTGTATTTTCGCTTTTACTCGATGGATGTTTGAGATCTTAATTTTGTTTTATTAATACGATATTTGGCTATATTACCTGAAAATTGGGAATCATTTGGTTGGCTGGAATAATTATAAGAAATATAAATGTAAAGAAAGTCAAATGTTACAGTTTTGCCCCCTGGTCATTTTTCAACAAATATATTTATTAATAATTTTGTAATAGTGAATACATGGCCCTTTCGATTATTTTAGTTCATTAATACCATTTGCCATCAAGTCCAGTCTGTTGACTGTAACAGTAGAGTAAGGCAAACTGTCAAGCGCGGTGGCTGCWCTCTTTTKGTTTAAGSGAGAATAAATAAAAATTGTGCTGGAACTCTTGGCTTTAATCGATGGAATAACGTTTCGGCATATTACCTGATCACTCTACAACAAAATTTAGGAGAATTAGGTGAACATAAGGGTTTTACAACTGAAAAATGCAGAACAATGACTCAAAGAACACGTCTAATTTGGTCAAAAAGTGGATAATATGGCAAGGATTCAAGAGGAAGGGAGATGAATAAGGACATTTGGTGCGTGATCCTTCCTAAAATGGTGCGAGGGTATACAAAATTGATGGCAAATGGCATTAATGAACTAAAAAAATCAAAAGGGCCATGTATTCATTATTAAAAAATTATTAATAAATATATTTCTTGAAAAATGACCAGGGTGCAAAACTGTAACACTTGACTTTCTTTACATTTATATTTCTTATAATTATTCCAGCCAACCGAATGATTTCAAATTTTTAGATAAGACAGCTAAATATCATACTAACAAAATAAAATTAAGATCTTAAACATCCATAGAGCAGAAGCACAAATATAGACTCTTGAAGTTGCAACATTGAATTCGTGTTACAGTTTTGCTCGTCACTGTATGTTATATTAGATTTGCCCCTGCTGATGATAGATATAAAATTACGATAAGAGCTTGCGATACGATAATTAATACAGGTATACCTTCAATACTTACGTTGAATCATATAATTTCTTATTGGTTTTTGTTGCATGCTTTGTTTGTTGTATAGAAAATTGTTGGGTGTGTTGTGTGTGTGTGTGTACGAAGATTATTAGTGATATTACTTTTTACGCTTGTCTGCCGGTTTCAATATCTGGAATGAACACATAAGGGAGTCATCCACAGACATCATTGCTCCAGCATTGTCAAATTCGCCACAGTAATTCGGAGCCGAGAAGAGTGTAACAAGTTGGCGCTTTGCGAAGAACTCATAGCCATCCTCGACGACCTGATGGGCGCGGCAAATGAGATCGAACTCGTGCTTCTCTAAAAATTTGGCCACCACCTCGGCGCCAAAGGTGAAACTGACGCCACGATCATTCTCGCCCCAGCCCATGGTGTCCTTGTCAGGATCGGACCACAGTAAATCGCAAAGTAGGCCCTGATCTGGTACATCGGTGGGACGCATGATGCGTCGAATTTGCTCCATCGACGATAGGTCCGGACTGAGACCACCATGGCAACAGAATATTTTCTCATCCACAATGGCTGCCACTGGCAAGCAGTTGAAGCAGTCAGTGAATGTCTTCCACAATTTGATGGTGTAGCGGCGCTTGCACTCGTCGTAGAATCCATAGATGCGATTTATGCTGGCACATTCATGGTTACCGCGAAGCAAAAAGAAGTTCTCAGAGTATTTGATCTTATAGGCGAGCAGCAAGCAGATGGTTTCCAGAGACTGTTTGCCACGATCGACGTAGTCGCCCAAAAATAGGTAATTTGATTCCGGGGGGAAGCCACCGTACTCGAATAGGCGCAACAAATCGTAATATTGGCCATGTATGTCGCCGCAAATCTTCAATGGTGCTTCCAGCTCTAAGAGTATGGGCTGCGACAGAAAAATCTCTCGCGACTTTAGACAGAGGCCACGAATTTCGCTCTCGGAGAGCTGAACATTTTTGCCAGGCCGTGCCCCACGCACTTCCAGAAGTCTTGATATGATGCTGTCGATATTCATAACATCGCCCATGTTTCTGTATTTGTTTTTTCTATTTCTTTGTTTTGCTGCGCAGTTTCTGTGCAAGATTTTTCCACCGAAGAATGGCAAGTAGCTTTGATGTATATTTTTCACTATAAATATTTTTCACAGCACAGCTACTACAAGAAAATTTCTCCAGTGTGCCCACATTTCACAAAAAAAAAAACAGGAGGAAGTGAAATGGGCAGTTAGTCACACTTTTGACTTGACAGCTTGTCCCGTTTACACTCACAGCGTTGGCCTGTTACCCGCCATTTGCATAGCTTGGTTGGAATTTAGTTGGTGTAAGCAGGACAAAAACAGCTTTAATTGCTAGCGCCATGCCAACTCGATTTAATATCTCTATACAGCAGTATCATAATATTTGATAAGCAATCTAAATATACTTGACGGTTAAAAAATACTGACTTAATAGTTGGTCACACATAATTTTTGAGGCTGTGGCACAAGTGCTAACGATTCGGTTAATTGAATTCAATTGAATTTGTCTGCAAAAATGTTACTTGATATAATAGAAAGAAGAAAACAAAACGATGTATATTTAATAGCAGAAATCGGTCAAAATCATCAAGGATGTCTTGAAACAGCTAAAAAGATGATACTGTCAGCAAAGAAAGCAGGATGCAATTGTGTTAAATTTCAAAAATCCGATTTGAAAGCCAAGTTTACGCGCACTGCTCTAGATCGAAGATATATAAGCGATCACGCCTGGGGTCAGACCTATGGAGAACATAAAGAATATCTTGAATTTTCAAAGGAACAATATCGTCAGCTACAAGCATATAGTAATGAAATCAAAATTGATTTCACAGCATCAGCTATGGATGAGGTATATACATATTTAAGGGTAGTTTCGAATGATTTTAATAAAAGTATTTTTTGCAGCCATCACTAGACTTTCTAGTGGAGTTAAAGGTACCATTTATAAAAATTGGTTCTGGAGACGCAAATAATTTTCCACTTATTAAAAAAGCTGCCGGACTCAACGTACCGCTCATAATATCAACTGGAATGCAAACTATGTCGACAGTTGATCGAATAGTGGAAATTATGAGGCAGGCCAGCAACAATAAATATGCTCTAATGCACTGCGTCTCGGCTTATCCGACACCACCTGAAGATTGCAACCTAGGTTTGATCACAACATTGATGCGGCGTTATCCCAATGTTCCCATCGGGTACTCTGGGCATGAACTGGGGGTAATCATCACCAAGGCAGCGATTTTGAGTGGCGCGAGAATAATTGAGCGACATTTTACATTGGACAAGAATCAAAAAGGGTCTGATCATCGGTGCTCTTTGGATCCCAACGAAATGGAGACGTTGGCCCGCAGCATAGTTGAATTTAAATCTAACGATTATCTTTCCTGTCCTAGTCTTACTTCCGCTGAAGTGATTTCAATCTTAGGTGGCGGAAAAGAGTTAGAGCAGGCACTATGTGAATCTAAAACAAACAAGAAATATATTTTAGAGTGCGAGCTGCCTTGTCGTTTCAAGTTGGGCAAATCGATTGTCGCGTCTCGGAATCTGCTTAAGGGACAAATAATTCAGGCAGCTGACATTGCAATAAAAGTCAGTGAGCCATCGGGTATTTTTGCAGAGAAGTATTTTGAAATAATTAATAAGCAACTGACAGACAATGTTAATGAAGATGAGCCCATCACTGAGCATGTGTTGAGTGCATAAAATGTATTGATTACTGTTGTATTTTATAATTATACGTAATGAAATTCTTATTGACTAAATTATTCGGCTGCATCGTCACTACCAACATCTTCATTATCATTCTCAATCATTTCAATGTCCTCCTCGAGATCACCCTCCTTTTTGTCGGTCGGCTTTTCATATACGGGTTTTAGTGGTGACACGACGACCCCATTCCAAACGGACATTTCACGTACAATGCTGGTATTGCCTTCCAATCCAAGGATGTGCTTGTATCCGCCGTGTGCTAAGACACGCAGCAACGTCTGCGCCGTATAGCAGCATACATCTTGTTGTTCCAGCGTCATCGCTGTGTGGACCCGTATGTGACCCGGTTCAGTTGGATCGGTTATACCAGCTGAGCCTGGTAGAAATAGTCCTGCAGAGAGCAGTTGAAATACACGACGAAATGCCAAATTGATTGGCAAAGCCTGACGCGATGGATTGTTCATTATTGCCAGGTGGGCAATTAAATCAAGCATCCATGACGAAAGAGGCGAAAAAGCATCAAATCGCTTGGTTAGATCCTTTAAGATGCGGATGAGAACTTTTATTGAAGAATGGTGAGCATTTTCCTCGAACCAGCGAGTGTGGCGTATAGCAGCTAAATGGCTTTGCATTAGCTTGTGATCCATATGAATTTCCGGTTCCAGCTTTCTTAAGTTCTGCGGTAAGGTGGCAATAAGAATACGAACTCGGGCCTGTGAGTTGGACACATCGAAGCCTCTGTCGTGTATTTCTAGGGTATGTTGTTCACCCTTTGCTAGCACTTCAGTTTTCATGTTAGTTTTTAGGTCCGCCTCAACCTTCTTGGCCAGTGCCTCACAAGCCTCCTTTGTCGGCAGTGTTTTGAGAATAACCACCACATCGGCCACATTGTTGCCACTGAGAATAGTGCCCTTTTTGAACGACCCAACTTGGCGCACTTCTTCTAATTGCTATATATGTGTTAGTTGGGTTAGAAGTATAATTAATGGGAAATTGCTATGACAACTTACACAAGTATTGAAGTCGCCTGGCGCAACGACTAAATTATCCAAGACAACCTGAACTTTAGTAACCAAGTTACCAATGGCAGCCTGTTCAGTGGGGCTAGGACTTAGGTCTTGGTTGCGTTTCAATAGAGCCTTTTTAAATAAAAAGGTTAACAGTAATTATGTGCTCTATTTTTTGGTTTATTAATTGATTTTACCGCTGTCAACGCAGAATCATCCACAACCGGCGAGACTTTGGGAAACACAACTTCGGTTAAAGTTAAATCAAACGGATGTCGGGGTACAAAGGTTTTCTTAAATGGCGGACGAATCCCGCCGCGCATAGGCCTGCTGCCTCGGAGCGCTCCACGAACCATACTTTTATTATAATGAATAATTTTGGCGAATTATATTTTGTAAGTCAACCACCAATCCCCACACTCCGGCTAAGAAATTTTTCGATTAATATTAGGTACGGTTGCAAATGTGATAGATCGATTTATTAATATCGTTTGTTTTAATCGTGCTGCAAGAATTGATATCGATACTAGAGCTAAAGTAGATTATCTTTCAATTATTTTCAAAAGAGATTAGGATAAAAAACGTGGCTGTATTGCTTAATAAAAATTGAAAGAGAAACAATATACTTATTGTTTTGAACTATGAAAATGATGACTTAATTATATCGATTTCGACTTTTATATTTTATACTAAAATAGTATTTTTATATCGATACTTGTGAGCACATTACCGATAGCTCTAGTTTCTGCTTGTCATCTTGTCATTTTGGTGAGGATTGTCGGCATTTATTTAAAAATTATTGTACCACAAATTTAAGCCAAGCATAATGGCTACTGAACGTTACAGTTTTTCTCTGACAACATTTAGGTAAGTTAAGCCTGCGGTTAAATACTAAGTGACAGCCATTTACGCCAAACTCATCTACATGACTGGCATAAACATTAATTTTTTCGTTCGTTTGCAGTCCTTCCGGAAAGCTTGTCCAGCTTGAATATGCCTTGGCAGCCGTATCTGGAGGCGCACCTTCTGTTGGTATAATGGGTAAGCTAAAATTATCCTTTGCACTGAGCCACGACTTAGGTCTTTTCGTACACCTTAGCTTCCAATGGCGTCGTCATTGCCACAGAAAATAAATACAAATCGCCGCTCTATGAGGAACATAGTGTGCACCGCGTGGAAATGATAAACAAGCACATTGGCATGGTGTATTCTGGAATGGGTCCCGATTATCGCCTACTGGTGAAGCAAGCACGCAAAATCGCTCAATCATATTATCTGACCTACAAGGAGCCCATACCGGTGTCACAGCTCGTGCAACGTGTCGCAACATTAATGCAGGAGTACACTCAATCGGGGTATAATATATTAATCGTACATTTAAAAGCAATTAGTAACATTTCGTAATTCTAGTGGCGTGCGTCCATTTGGTGTGTCGCTATTGATTTGCGGTTGGGACAATGATCGCCCATATCTTTACCAATCGGATCCGTCTGGTGCTTATTTCGCTTGGAAGGCCACTGCCATGGGTAAAAATGCTGTAAATGGCAAAACGTTTTTGGAAAAGCGGTTAGTATGGAAAAGTTAACAGTTAAAAATTAGAGAACTTACGTTTCCTTCTGCAATTTCAGTTATAGCGAAGATCTTGAACTTGAGGATGCTGTGCACACTGCTATTCTGACCCTAAAGGAAGGGTTTGAGGGCAAAATGACTTCTGATAATATTGAAGTGGGAATCTGCGATCAGAATGGGTTCAAGCGCTTGGACCCTGCAACAATTAAAGACTATCTAGCCAACATCCCTTAAATTTAAATTCAACATTGATTTGTCCAAGCTAAGCTTATATCTGCGTAAATAAACAAGACCAATAAAGTTCGTGAGTGTAGCGGGTTTCGAAATTAATGTTGATTTTTCGTTTTCATATTGATTTATTTATTATTTTAGTTATTGGTCTTCCATTAAATGCAGTACAAAAGGCGTTGCTGTTGTATATCAATGTTTTAAATTTTTTCTTTATTAATTTTTTTCTTGTTTTTTTTTTTTTTTTAATTTCTGTTTGGGTTATTCCTCATTTTTTGGGCACTTCTGTATATAAATGTAAAAGTGTGCGTTATGGACGCGACTTACACACTACGAGAACTTAGTTAAGGCTTAAAATACTAGTATCAGATCAGTTATCGAGAGTAGTTGCTGCTTACAGTTAAGGCTATGATTATTTACAATTTAAAGAATACATAGATAGAAGTCATAGACTCTCGTTTCCTATGCTGGTTACTGATTATGATATTGATATTGGGTAAACTTCACATATATATCCTTTGTGGCCAGGACCCATGCCACAATCAAATATTCAGGCAACGCAGCTTTGTGTCCGGTATTCGCGATGTGAACTCAAACGATGGCGGTCGCCGAACGTCTTCGTGAGAGTCGCGACGTATGCGATCTGGATTGCGTCCCATTACAGATGACAGAGGTATTTCTTTACGGTAAATCTCCTCGAGCAGCAGTCGTTCAAGCTCAAACAAGTGTTCATCCCGCACTCCAGGTATCTCCTCGTGCATGAAAAGCGCTAATCGCAATAAATATTCCGCATTGTGTCCACTAGGACCACGCGAATTTGCGATTTGGTGCGCTATTACTTCCAGTGGCGCTTCACCCAGCCAATGGATGTTCTCCGGTGTGGCTACATAGACCAACACCTCGAGGGCCTCGCCACTGAATGGCGTGTCATGAGAAGCGACGCGGGGAAAGAATTTTGCGTCGAGCGTTGCATAGCCACCTAATCAGAGATAATATAAATATAAATTATAGAAAATAAATGTTAAGTACCATATATAATTTATTGAATTTTATGTTTGCTTACCTAACGTGCATTCACGCTGTTTAAGGTACTCCAGCGCCGTTGAGCCTGTTATTCTATATGCACAGCCCCATGTAATGCCCTGAAATGAAAAAAAAAAAAAAAAAAATACAAATTTAATTTCAAAATTAAAAAAAATGAAAATCAAAATGAAAAAAATATTTTCAAATATTTATTTAACAAATTTAGTTGCCTGTTTTTGCGTTTCGTATCATTTGTATTTGACCGCGTATTTTTTGTGCTTATAATTCCCAACTCATTTTTCGGCGTGTCGCACACTTAAATAGCGGCGAGCGATAATCAATGTAGGGCGTTTTGAGTTTTCCTTGCTTGTCTCTCGGGGTCACAAACGAGCTCCTGGTAGCTCTTAAATTGCCACCCTGGGTAAAGTCCCCGGGCCTAGGATAGAAAGTATCAAGGCGTAAAAAAATTTGTACTTGTACAAATTCGCCTATATTTCGCGGTATTTCGCCTTGCGTATTCCAATGAAGAGAGACCCGCTCTAAGGGTCTCGAATTGTTGCGCTCGGTTGACTGCGGAAATGTGCCAGAGTTTGCTAAGATATGGACGAGTAGTGGGCGTGTCTGCGTGCACGCCTACTACACGGAATGGGGCTTACTTAGGGAAATTCAAACGCAGCGCAATTAACTTTTTTCTTCACTTACATGCAGAATTAATAAATGTATATATAATAAAATGTATATCTTACCTCTTTGTCCTCAACAAGTGTAGCGACACGACCGGGCTGTAAAAGAGGAATAAAGAAAAGATATTAAATAGACTATATATTTATATGTATGTATATTTTATATTGAAGAACAGTGAAGGGAGGGAATGCAGATTTGCAGTTTTACGCTTTGTTTATATATAGATATGTGTATATATAGACCTTGACTTATTTTTACATTGTTCGTTAATACATGATGAAACGAATAAAATTATTCCGCCGTTCATAAACGGATTTTTAAAGTATATTGCCTCCTACTCAATATACATATTCAACGAGGCATTGTGTTATTGTGACAAGTGGCCAATAAAGCCTTTCAGAAGTTGGTTTACTCTGTATATCAATATCATTATATGTCTATACGCAAATAGTTGTAGAACCAGTTGGCTACGCTCACGAAGTTGAGATAGTATTTAGTTATTTAAATTTTACTTAGTCTAGTCGTTCTACGTCTACGTTTAGACTGCTCGCTGCTGATAAGAGACTTGCCAATTAGATAATGGAATAAACAGAGAATTTCCAATTGGTAAACGCTATGTGGGAAAGGGAGTGACAATGTTGTTTAGATTAGCCGAGTGCAGGCTGATCGGTGTGGTCTGCGTTAGACGATTGAGCAATACTACTTACCGCTTCCTCGGTGCCGCGATGCGTTACGTTGCCCTGCCAGAAGCGACGCACATAGCCACGTATGTAGCCCGTTATGCATTTGGTGTAGGTGAAGCCTGGATACCAGCAAAGCGAGCCGTAGCCAAAGATCCAGCAGACGGCTTGGCAGTCACTATTTGCATTGTCGGGTCGATTCTCCTGGTCATTGTTGTTGTTGTTATTATTATTATTATTAGCATTGTTATTGCTATCAACGATATCATCGTCGTCGCCGAGTTTGCCATCCGTGAACAGATTTTTAAAGTGCGCAGGCACCTCGGGAGGTGCCCGATGACCGCTGTAGTGTGCCATAATGTGTCCAAAAGAAATTGCTATCACACAGTTAATTTGAGCCCCAAGCCGAACGAGTTGGTTTCTGTTGAGTTTATTTTTATGTGAGCTATGCTGTACGCGTATGTCTGTGTGTGTGTGTGTGCGTGGGCGTGTGAGTGGGTGGGTGCGTGTATGTGTGTGAGTGTATGTTGCTATTTAGCTCTCTCGGCTAATCGATTGGCATGCTGGAGCTATATCGATGGGGTTGCCTGCAACGTATTGCTGTGTTATCTCACGTTTCTCATTTTATGTCCTCCTAACTCTTTGGCTGGCGTCAATGCATCTGAAAACGAAAATTTTTGAAACTTGATGTTTTTGTTACACAGTACACCACACGTAAATATGAAAATAGATTTGTATTGAAAATCAGTAGCTCACTTGATCGATCGAACATTCCGGGCCACGCGGCCAATTGCTCTCAATAAGTATAGTATATAGTAAAATAATAATGATGTGGTCTTGTAATTGTTTTGTTTTGATTGCCACTTCTCACTCGCTAAATTTCGCGAAAATAGTTCCGCTTGTGGCCGGCAAGTAACGATCCTAAGTTCAAATTAAACAGCCGAGCGGCCACAATGAAAAAACGAAAACATTTCTGAGCGTACAAAAGTACAAAATTTGTACGAGAATAAATATTTATGACGCTCCGTCTAAGTCGTCTGCGACGTTAGCGCAATAGACTTATCTGCGAATCTACTCACAAATTATACAAAAGTAAACATACACACTCACACTCACACTCAATGGGTGTGTGTGTGAGAGTATTCAAATTGTTATTGTTTGGCACCCTCACACTCTCTCATCTTTCTGTTCCTCTCTTCTCTCCTTCTCATTCGGCGCTGATAGTGAAACCGAATCGAACAAGTTCTTCTGCTTCGATCTAGGGTAGAGTGGACTTGCTTTAAACACGATCTATAGAAAAAAGTCTCCCACCGAGTATTGGCAATTATTTATACGCATGCTCAATAAATCTTAAATTAAATGACATAGCAAAAATGTTATTAAGCCAATTGATTAACTACTCGGCAGTCACTTCAAATTAATAAAATCTTAAGTGTTTTTCGTCTTGGCAATTATTTATAAAATTAATGCCTTGGTAATATAATTCGATTAAAATCTGATTGGAAATAGTGCTAATCATGCAACTGATTTTGATATATTTTTTTTTTTCATATTATATGTGTATTATATTTATATCCCTTTTTCCTTGTATCTTTATACATAGTAAATTTATAGTATTCAAAATATATTTTTTTTCTTTTAAAATAGTCAACTAGTAATGTGCTTTCAGATTTTCAATATATGTATTTTATGTGGTTAATCTATTATAACTATTAATTTTATTTTATCATAATAGTATAGCTGATGTCCATATTAAGCATTGGCAACCTGCTTCTACGGTATTTTGGCACGTCTACGCATACACATACACACAAATTCTCCCTCACACATATGTAGAACTGCGAGTAAATAAAACTCAAATACAGAAAAGTTTAAGTTTTATACCCTGGCTCTGCTGAAATTGGAAATACAAGGTATAATGTTCTTATTATTCTTTATGGAGGTAATAAGCGTGTCGTCTGTGTGTCTCAGGAAGTACAGTTTAATGTACAGATATGTATCTTAATTTAAATTATCAAAGTTGAAACTGCGCACCTGAAAAGGATTAGGACAATATAAAATACAGTTATTTTTATATGATATAAGTTTAAAGTGAATGTTATATAAAAAATTAACCAAAGCGTATTCAAATTATAAGGAATTCACTTATTGCCCCTTTGCTCTCATTCATTTGAAGTTAGACAAAAACGAATTTTCTAGAGATAGAGAGGAAACGATCTTCCTATTTAGTGCATATCGTTTTATAATATAACATGACATTAAACTGTTAAGTTAACAGCGTAGCTTAACAGAGGGATCTGCTACTGTTATTGTACTGCTGGTATGCTGCTCGCATTGTGGATGAAGGAAAAGGAGCGGTTAACATTGTCATCATAAAAAGGAGTAGATAGCAGCAATACGGGATTTCATTATTTATTATTATGAATTAGTTCATATGTATCTTGATACAAGTTGTTAAGATAATTTGAGAAATAAATATACGACACGGCTTTCGTTATGACAGGGTATCTGCTAGTTGGCTATTCAGATTACTCTTACTTATTTCTTTTCTTAAGCAAATAATATTTAAGGTTTGTTCCTGGAATTTCGGAGGCTTTTCTAACTACGCAGCTGTTAAGTAATAATTGGAACGGGCTGACAGAAAGAAGCGTTCCTCGTGTTTTCGTATTCAGT